GCCAACCGTGTACGGCCAGGAACACGGTCGGCCGGCCAACCGTGCACGGCCAGGAACACGCGGTCGGCCGGCCAACCGGGTCGGCCGGCCAACCGGGACGGCCAACCGTGCACGGCCGGCCGCACGGCCAACCGTGCAACCGGGACGGCCAACCGTGCGCGGCCAGCCGCACGGCCAACCGTGCAACCGTGCAACCGTCCAACCGTGCGGGGGGGGGGCCTGACCGTGCCACGGTCAGCCACGATCACGGCCCGATTGCCCGGCCAGCGCCATACTCGGAATTCCAGGATCCAAAAATGGAGGTACTGTACCATATAAGGCCATATTTTGTGGGGATATTCCCTTACATAGGCCTGAAAAATAGGCCTTATATATGCTAGGTACCTCCATTTTAGGATCCTGAAATTCCCATTGATAATATGGCTTTGTCTGGCTTTATCTTATGACAAAAATTGGGAATAGCCCTACATCCATTGGTTAATCACTATTTTCCAATATTAAATTGGCAATGTGAGGGTATTTTCCATTTTCCGACACGACACTGGGCCATATATATATATATATATATATATCTACATAGACAAATAGATAGATTAACTAATGAATAAAGTAAATACATACATGAATATATAGATAAAGTACATGCACAGAGAAAAAGAACAAACAAATCAATGAAGGACCGTGTATGTATGTATATATGCACATAATCTTTATATAGAGTGATATATGTCTATTCCTGGATTTGTGCCGCCACCGCATTCACCTTGATCAAGCGCTCACCAACCAGCCTAGTTAACAAACGGTCATACCATGTCACAGCCCATGGTGATTGTTGTACAATCAGAACTGGGAAAATCACCCAAAGTTGAGTCCTGGTTGGTAGTTTCAAAATGTTTTTGTCCTATCCGTGAATGATCACCTGATCACCAATGACTGATAGATATGTATATTTCACGGGTGGTTCAAACAACCACCAATCAGGTTGAATATCTTATTGCCATCAATGTCAATGTCTACGAACCAGCAAAGACAGACGTAGGGTATCTAAGATTGGCCATCATCCCACCCCATGTTTTGTCCAAATCTGGGTTGCCCTGAAGAAAAAAAAATCGTTTAAAATCTCATCTCCACCACAATCCTGTCCCACTTAAATATACCAGTTATTACCCGTCATGGCCTACAAACAGATACAACATACCACACACACACATATATATATATATACATCGGTCTATATATATACACACATATATATATATACATATATATATATATTATAGGTCTATACACACATATATATATATAGTATACATATATACATAGCTACAGTTATTAAAAACCGTCTATGCCAGTCTACCTGGTAATCCTGCAGCCGAGGTCACATCCCTTCCATTGGGCTTCCTCGAGGAGATCGCCAGTGGCATTGATGGCGACTCGGTGACCTCCCGGGGAGAAAATGCATGGGAATTATGTGTAGAATCAGTGTGTATATATACATAAATAATTATTATAAACCTATAATATATATATATGTAGAATACTTATATATATGTATATGTAGAATATATGTATATATATATATATACACATAGGAATAAAAATGAATATCAGGAATGAAACATGAATATGTATATAACCCAAGAAAAGATATCAGGAATGATACATGAGAATATATGTAGGGATTGTAGGAATATGTGCATATTTATATAAAGAGTTTGACCCAGAAATCATATAGGAATGATTTGGGAATGAGGCAAGATTATCAACCGCAACCGCAGTGGTGGTGGTAGTAGTAGTAGTAGTAGTAGTAGTAGTAGTACTAGTAGTAGTACTAGTAGTAGTAGTAGCAGTAGCAGTAGCAGTAGCAGTAGCAGTAGCAGCAGCAGCAGGAGGAGTAGTAGTAGTAGTAGTCGTCGTCGTAGTAGTAGTAGTAGTTGTAGTAGTAGTACTAGTAGTAGTAGTAGTAGTAGTAGTAGTAGTAGTAGTAGTAGCAGTAGCAGTAGCAGTAGATGTAGCAGTAGTAGTAGTAGTAGTAGTAGCAGCAGTAGCTGTAGTTGTTGCTGTGGTGGTGGATGGCTCTCAATGCAGCATTGGTGGTTTTTGACGATATAGATATTTTGAATATCTTTTGGGGATTACGAATCTACGAATCCATGTGTTGTAACACATTTTTTTGGGACAAATTCTCAGGTTGAGACACGCATTTAACTGTGAATTCTTCCCCATTTTCTTTCCAAATTTTCAATCATCATCACTTTTCGTGGGTTCCACAATGTTGCGCAAGTTTCATCCGAATTTCCGGAGGTTCCATGAATCTCCAACTGTTCACCGCTAGATCTTCCAAGCCTTCACAGCTGGCGCACCGAGGTTACGAAGGGGTTGTTGCCATGGAGGCCAGCGGAATGATGGAGATCCCGGCATCGTAACTGGCGACGATTTTTATCACTGCAAAACTGATCAAACGGTTTTTTTTTCCCCCGAAGCAAACATGATTTTTTAGGGATATAAAGTCCAAATCAAGTTACGAATTGGTTTTAGTTTTTTTTGGGTTCAAGCCAGTTGTAAAATGGGATAACCAACTCCTTCGGGGACGTATTAAAAACCAGGGTTAGAATTTTCGCAGTCAATCGGCGATCCGGGGGATTTTGACCTCCAGGTTTCATCAAGCGTCAATCAAGGAATTACCCATTGGTAATTTAACATAGCTATTGAAAATGGCCATTAATAGTGGATTTACCCATTGAAAATGGTGATTTTCCATAGTTATGTTAGTTTACCAGAGGGTAGTCGGAAATTTACCTATGAATGGATATCAATGGGGTGGATTTCCATGGATGTTTCATTGTGAGTCATTTTTTTAGACGGTGGTGCACTTAGATAATTATTCCAATCAGAGAGAATCCCTCTGGGAAGCAAACCTGAACTGGCAAATCCACCATTTACACTCCCTTTACTGGATGCAATTATATGGGACTTTGATCAACCAAAATGCGTATATGACCTACACACCTCGATCATTTACGGTATAGAATTCAATTGCCAGATATAAGTGGATATAGATGGACATACATGAATATACATGGCTGCGACATGACTATATTAGATCATCTTCCAGCTCCGATCATTTCCACCTGGGATCTCACCGAAAGCAGCGCTTAGCACATGGCAACTGTTAGTCCTGTGGTACCCTCTGGTAAACTAACATAACTATGGAAAATCACAATTATTAATGGGACAAACCACTCTAAATGGCAATTTTCAATAGCTATTTGTATGTTTACCAGAGCGTATGTTGAAATCTCCTTTTTTGCAGATGACACCCGTAACTGTAGTCTATGCGTGACACCCTTTTTTTCGGATGTTTACATCCACATGTCCGCTTGTTCTCGTTGGTGAAAGCATCATTTTGTGTTCAAGTCCCATATTCAAGGTTGGTCATGTTCCTGGATTCCTATCTGACTTGTGCTTTTACTACAATTTTTTTTAGTGTTCCCGCTACTTGGGATAAGGATCCAAAAAACATCACCCTCTGATTCACCTTGAAATTGGTGAAGCCACAGAAGTGCCTTGAAAAGCAAAAAAGTCTAAGGTTGAAGCCATCAGCTATATTTGTCTCCCATCAAACGCACAATCAACGGGAGTTATGTAAACGTTTTCCAGAGGGTAAACCTCCATTTTCCTATGGGTTTTCCTATGGTTTTCCCATTCAAACCCGCCATTTTCCTATGGTAAATCACTGGTTTTCTGCTAATTCAATAAGTCCCGCATGTTCCATCAATAGCCCACCTCCATGGTTCGTTTGGGGAAATTTCCCACCCGAAAAAGGTTTGATTCTTGGTTTCTTTTTTTTTTATCCCATCCAAAATCACTATTTTTTTAAATGCACATTTATATAGATGATATATTCATATTTCCAATGTATTCATCCCCGTATATATATTCAGCAGATATAGATACATATTATCATACATGTATATACACTATGATTGAAACTATGATCAGCTTATATATTTACTTAATTAATGTATATATATATATATATCCCCATCATTAATGATTATGATCAGCTTATTCCCATTTTATCTCCATAATGGTTGAAACTATGAATTTTGAGGCGATGGAAGCCTTGCTTGCGGTACCACCCGCTGCTGCAAGGGGGCCCAGTTTCGCCCCGCAGATGCGGAGTAAATGGGGACCGGCCCCTACTAGTTATACCATGTTATACCACAATATGGACAATGGCTATGTTCTCTATATGGAATTATGGTGAATTTAACCGATAACTAGACAGATTTACAGGGATATGATGGGAATATCATGGCAGATCATTATCTATACCCTCTGGTTATTTGAAATAGCTATGGAAGCCATGGCCCATGAAAATAGATGATTTGTGAGGACTTAGCGTTTCTGGAAATGGTGATGTTCCAGTTCGCTACGTTAAATAAACAGAGAGTATGTAAAATAAATATGCCACTAATTCACTCAAGTTACAACTATCATGAATCAAACAGTGCCAGGGACTTTCAGGGTTTTTGCCACCGATCGGGTACAGCTTTATCCTCAGCGCGTTGGGTCATCGATGCAGGTTCCTGTGGTGTTTGGAATCAGGTTCTGCAGATTTCTACAGTTTGCGGATCTAAAAGGTCAACCCTGATCATCGGTGCTCCGTTTGTCTTTTTTGTGCTTTGAAAGTGTGGCTTGTGCGCAGCTGTTGTTGCTCTGAAAGCCGTGCAAGATAGTTATGCAATGGGAGCTCCAAGGTTTGAAACGCGACTGTAGTGTCTTGACTTCACAAGTGCAGACTAAGAGGAGGTACCAGCGGCACTTCAAGACAAAACAAGCATTGAAGGATTGATCGCCACTTTTCCAAAGAAATCACCATCACAAGGACCAGCACGTGTGTTGCCAACATGAAGACAGAGGGGTGCTGAAGTACATTGCAGAAGTGGCCATTGCTCAACTACTGTAATTGCTTAATATTACCTTAAACTACAAGTTCTGCGGAGCGCGAGCCTTCTTTGAGAGGAAGGTTGGTGCTGCGGCTCAAGAGGCTTGGAAAACCCAGTCATGCCGTTTGGTTTATTCTGTATGTGTGTATGTGTATATATATACATATATCTACACAGTATATACATATATATATACACAACAGTCTTCTCCTGATCATGATCCGTCTTCTCAGACTTGGTTGAAGGGATACTTGGCAGAAGCCCTTATTTTTGCGGGGAAAAATCCATGGTTTCTTGCAGAGTTTGCCTTCAATCATCCATTGATTCCTGATAATGCTGAAGGACATGTTTCGCATGGGATGATGAATCAAGGTATTGAGTGAGGTTCCCCAAAATGGATCAAAATGCTACGTTGATCCCCCAAGGAATAATTCCCTTGTATGGCTCTTGCTTTACCTGGGAAACTATGTGATGCTTCGTAGGATTGCGGACCCTGATTGTGTACCAAAGTGGTATATATAATATACTAGGATCGAATCAAGTATGGCTACGCAGGGAGAAGCCTAGCTTTGGGGCTTCTTTTTACCAAACACCCATTTCAGTGCTGCACAAACCTGTGCCTGCAGGTTGAACATGCGCTGGGAAGCACGATTTGGCTCCAGATGGAGGGGAGGACAAATGAGCTGTGCCCAGTACTTCTGTCTTGGGGAAGGCAAAACCTGAAAACATGATGATCACCCCTAAAATGAACTGGTAATACCCCAAAGGGCTCTTTTAAGTCTTTTAATAGCAAGTGCAGTATTATGATTCACTGAGCGATTTTGGCGTACTTTATTTTCGTTCAAACCAAACTGAACAGATGAAATATATTGAAATTTGGAACCTTCGCTTCACATTTTGGAGTAGTTTCGACCCCGAATATATCAGGTACAGTACTTGGCATGTTGGACCGATGGAGCCATCCTTTTTTTCTCCGTAATTCTTCGTCCAGTTTGGGAGTTAAAGCATGGCCAGAGACTTGGTGTTGTGGTGTAAGAAGTATTAATCTGTCCAATTCGGTAACAAAGAAAAAAATGGATGGCTCCAAACATATGGGAGAAAACATGATTAATCTATTAGTCTGTGATTTTCACGGTATAGATCATTCCCCTGATATTTAACACCCCGTAAATGATCTACAATATGTTGCCCAATTCCCTGCATCCGCCATGGGCCATCGGTTTCTGGTGTCAGTCCAGTCGTGCACGGGGTAAGGGATTGTCCCATTAACATCCCATTAGCATCTCTTTCAACATCCACATTCATATCCCATTTATATCCCATTTATATCCCATTCATATCCCATTTATATCCCATTTACCCTCTGGTAAATTAACATAGACCCTGGCAAATAGGGGTTGGAAGATTAGTTTCAACTAAACAATGGCTATTTTCAGGGTCTATGTTAATTTACCAGAGGGTATATCCCATTATAGTCCCATTAAACCATATTTAACCACCAGTTTGATGTCACAAAAAAGCCTCTGCGATCCCAGGATTTTTTTGTCTGCTTGGCCTTGCCTGTCTGTTGAGGTCCTTGGCTGTGGATGGGTACCCGCTAGATCACGTTAGTAGGGAAGGTAGAAAACCATGTAAAACCTTACCAAGATTAGCCTCTGGTAAATTAAGATAGACCCTGAAAATAGTCATTGTTTAGTTGAAACTAATTTAAGATTTAAACATCAGAAATATGGACCAGGCTCCAGCTTCGGTGTGTATTCGAGTCATGTGGGTGAACATGTGGATTCCGATTCCAGGAGATTCCACAATTCGACAGCACCGAGTGTTCATCCAAGTCGGCATTGTGGCTTCAACATTTGGGCTAGTTGGTGGTTTGGAACCATGGGTTAATAATGGTTAATAATGGTTAATATCTGGTTGGTGGTGACTGGAACCATGGAATGTTATTTTTCCATTCAGTTGGGAATTTCATAATCCCAACTGTTACTCACTCCATCATTTTTCAGAGGGATAGGGCTCAACCACCAACCAGTTTGGGTATGGCTCACGATTCTTTATACCACCGGAGAAGAGATGAGACGACTCCGACTCCAAACGGCTGCCTCCACGACAGGCGAAACGTGATGCCGGCCTTTGCCGAGACTGCAGAGGCCATGGTCGAAACCATGGTTTATATTTCCATGGATATAAAAGGAGATTGCGATCAATTGATCAATAGGGATTTATGTATATAATTAATATATATAATTATATATATATACATATATGCACATACATGTTCATATTAATTTCCAGGATTGAAATTCGGCAGTTTAATCAATCATGTAGATATAATGGGAATCAATGGTTATGGGATAAAACCAACAATCTAATGGATGTGCGTGACAATTGGGTCTACCCCCCAAAATGGCCGCTTCAACGTACGCTATTTGCAGACAAACCTAATTATATATGTGTGTGTATATATACATTAGTATAGATATAATATTCGCTGCATAGCGAAATGCAACTGAATTTGTTGAAAGTGACTTTCCAGCTTGATGTTGGGGGAGTGAACACTAGAGACATGCTCAATGAGAAGCCCAACGACCCCGTGAAAACCATCTGATTTTAGTTTCTCAATTCTTTCGAGCTGTGACTCGCACCTCATGTGAAGGCCACATAAGCCCTGTAAATTTTCATGTTCGTGGAACCTTGTATGCCCTTTGGTAGTCAAACATGCCAATGGACGATTCCCGACCGGTAAATTTTCCATGAAGATTTCCCCTTGCCATGTTTGATTACTGAAGGGTAGATAACAAAATTTCAGACCACTGCCACGAAGTGCAAATGTCACATCTAGTGGGTCACTAAGAAAGACTGTAAACATGCATGTTTGGTGACCCCCAGTATGCATGTTACAATCTGGGATGCACCCTTCCTGGATTAGGCTCGAGATAACATAAATCATGGTTTTAAACATGTTACAGCTGATGTGAAGGCCACACAAACCGTGTGTCATTTTGGATGTTTGGGAAACCTCAAGTGAGTTTTTGCAATTGGCAATCGTGATGCTACATGTGATAACCATCAATACTTGAAAAAAAACACCTGGAAGCGTCCTGTGCCTCCTGGGCTAAGGCTGCTTTTTCCTGCGCTTGAACCAAGGATTGTCCGTTTTGGTGGGGAAACACTGTCGCCACCCACTACACCCAACTTGTCATGTGGATAGATTCAGGAACCCGGGGCGGCATCATGTTTCGCATGGCTTTGTCTGAAAATAGGGCATCTGAAAATCTAAGTAATAAATCAATCTTTTCCCACTTAAAATGGCCATTTGGGGAGTTTTTTCGGTATGCTCCATCTTTTTTAGACAAACCCAAATCATTGATTCATATGATAAATCGCTATCTTTTCAAGTCTCTATTTTTGATGGCTAATCCAAACATCAGATCAAGTTGGTTATATAGTTATATTATATATATACACAAGATACAATGTGAATTGTATGGAGAACCAACTTGATCTGATATTGGGTAGATATCCCACTATCATATAACTTAGAATGAGAATATCCAAATCATGCTCATTATATAAGGCCATATGGGGGTTTCCTGAAATAGGGGTACCCCAGTTCTCATCCATGTTTATTTGGTATTTTCCATTATAAACCATCCATTTGTGGGTAACCCCATTTATGGAACCCCCCATATCCACCATCTGGGAATTCAACATAGCTATTGAAAATTGCCATTTCTGGATGGTTGACCTAGTAAAAATGGTGATTTTCCTTAGGTTTTTCTATGTTTTACCAGAGGGTAACGCCATAAAAGCCCCCCATTCTGCTTGGTTCAACCACGATCGCCAGGGAGCTGCTGTCGCCGCGAGAGCGACGCTTCGGCAAGCTACACTTGGCGCAGGCGCAGCCAAATTGATCTGGGGAGTTACTGTTTACAACTGATTATATATATATACTCTACACAGTATATGTATATGTATATATATATATATGTACAGTATATATATTTTTTTAAAACTAGATTCTTTTGGATGTTCTTTTAACATCTTTTAGACCAATCCTGGGTTTCATGTTGCTGTACTGGCCCCGCTTCACATTCCATGGCTCAGGGCAAGAACGACCTGCAGAGAATGCTGTGCTGCGGGCATTGCTGGATCTGCAAAAAGAGAAAACACAGTTGAACAAGGCAATCTGTGGGGTTCAACCAACAAACAGTAGGATTTGAGTTTATTTGAGCAACATAAATTGAGTTTTAAGCAACAAAAATGGTGCTTTTATGGGATAGAATGGGGATTGAACATTTTTTAGAATCTGACATAGATCTTGAAGGAACTATGGAACCAGGGAATTTCATACCCCGACTTGCTAAACACTATGTGTTTTTTGATGTTTTGGACCAGGGTACCAGGCGATGAACAGAAGCCTACCCATTTGTCTTGAACCAGACACTAGATGAAACTAGGATAAAAATGGTTCCCGGCTGGGAAGTCAACGTGAAGAAGTGGGTCCTTGAAATACATGTCTCTTTGATTCAAGAATTTCATTTTCTATTTTTGAACATATATTCTTGGCTGGTGATTTCAGATATTCTGGCTTTTGAAGTCACCATCGTATCAAAAGACCAAGGAAGCAATTGTGAGAGTGTTTTGTTTGCCCAGTTGTTAGTAAAGCAACAAACCAACCATATCTTGATCCTATCTTTACCACTCACAATTGTAAAATCGAGAGATGGGATGGTGGAACATGGTGGAACCTATCTTTGCATAGAGAGATATCCGCAATTCTTGATGCTTAGTCCATGTAAAACCCCATTTCTTGGCCAACATCCCAAGGACGCCGTCCGGATGCAGGCGGATCCCTATCTGGGAAAGCTCACGGGCAGTGGCCGAAGTGGCGGTAAGAGATGGCGCCTGGTGTCACTGGAACGGACCAACTCCAGCGGTTTGGATCTGGTGAAGGATCTGATAAACCAAGGATTTCAATTGAACAATTAAAGGATCTGGTTGAATATCTGATTTATATTGATTTATAGCTTTTCGATCTATTTCAATTTTGCAATATTTTTTTGTCGGCGAAGCCAGCTGCAATTGCAATAAGAACTTTATTTTTCATAAGTGTTCTTTGTGAAAGATCCGACGTGTGGAAATCACGCTTGGTTCTTTGGGGATAAGGAACTAAGCCAGGAGAATAGTTACTAACCAACCGTTTTTTTTTAATAATGGGATGGGATAGGGGAATTTTTTGAATGGCTTAGATTTTTTAGGAAGACTTGACAAAGATATTACATTTCAAATCACTGACGATTTCTCCAAGTTCCGTGTGAGAATCATCCAGCTTGGCATTTGGGGGCACAGGGTTTCCCATCTTCGACTTCCCCCTAGCTTTGTTTCATCATCTATAGAACGGGAGTCCTGGATTAGGGATATATCATAAGATATCTCCAAATCAACCAGATCGACTTTTCACGTCTGTTTTCCGTACACCAAAAGTCCTCCAATCGTCATCACTGAGCGCCATGATGCTTGATCACCAGAGGCGCTTTCATGGCCTTGAAAATAGCTAGTGCCATGGATGTGAGCATCATCTTCCCTTTTCAGCTGAACAACCAATTTTTTGGAGGCTTCAAGACCCAAACTTTGGCTATGCTTTTGGTGGTAAGACAAATTAGTTGGGTTATGATGGCTTCATTAATTCACTTGGCACGGATTCACCCCATTTTGGATGAGCCTTGTGGTCCACGTCTTCGCTGATCCTAGGTATTTGGCCACCCGCAACGCTGTGGTGGCGGAGCGAAAGGGCCAAGCGCCTCCGTCCTTTTTCGATCGCGGCTGGTATGTGGATGGATTGGTGACCGCCGTGCAGCGCTTTGAAGATAGAGTCATGGCGAGGTTTTTTAGGGTGGTTGGCAAAGGGCAGCTTACCATCTATAGCTGGGAAATCCCTGATCTAAATGGAGGTTTTAATGAGAAAATCATGGAACATCATGAAACTAAATGGGGAGTTTCCTCCAATTTTCACAGCTTGAACCTCAGAATTAGCATTGTAGAATTGTAGAGGACAGTAGTCTTCCAATCCCTAGCTGGCAGTCAGTTTATGTTCATTGGGGGGATGGTCATATGTTAATCTTTCACTTCTCTGTTATCCACAGTTTGGCCTGTGATTCATAGGACGGACAGTGACGTAACCTTGCAGCCCATAGATAAGGGATTGCTTATCATCCAGCTAGTGACAATCCCTGACATGAAAGGTAGTAGAACCCCCAATGACCGACCATGATTCTTTTTTGCCAATGCTCGGCTCGCTGCAATTTTCGGTGTCGCGTGAGCCCCCGGCACGTGGATGGGTCCGATAGTTCAAGGTGTGTGTAGCCACAATCCCAGTTTTGTCCCCTCCAATTCAATCGAGTTTAGACTTAGACACACAAGAACAGACTTCGAACAAGCTCATCATGAATGATTGTTCACCTTGGGGAAGCTATCAAACATGTCCTCAAAGCCGGCTTATAATCCCACCCCCATACTATATATTATATATTATATATTATTATATATTATATTATATTATATTATATTTATATTTATATTTATATTTATATTATATTATATTATATTATATTATATATATATTATACCCTGTATACATATTATACCCTGTATACCGTATAGCGACTCCCGAAATGAATAGATCCACTGAATCAGGGCGACGACCTTTTTTTTGGGGGATGCCAACAAACCGTAAGGTCCTGCGGCGCACGTGAATCAGAACGGCGTCTTTGAATTTCTGGGTCTCGGGGGGTTCTTCTTCGGTTACTTTGCTCGTTTCAAATGGCCCTCGCCAGAGAAGCGAACGACCTTAGCCTTCCAACCCATCACCAACAATCTCAAGCTCTTTGGTCAGGCCTTGATTGGGGCGGTTGTGAGCCTTTGCCGGAAGATTACACCCTGTGTGGGTCATAGCAATGTGTTTGGGTTCCGTCGAACTCACATGGATTCCAGCGCCTAAATCAGACTAAATCTTGCAATTTACATTTCAAGATTTTCAGGTGTCCAGGCAGTGTGAAGTTGTCCAAAGCTGTGGGGGTCGCAGCTGGGTAGTTCACTCAATACCCGAAGGCATTTATGGCACATCCAATTTTGCCAGAAATGGGTGGTACATAAGCCATCCCCCCAAAATGGGGTTTATTGGATTGGATTTACCGTACCCTATTACAAGCTCAATCACTTGAGTGGTTATTTTTTGGCAAGAATGAGAAAATAGGCTCACCAGCTGAATTCTTGCGTTTTCCAAGGTTAGCCATGATTACATAAATTGGGGATGGTCCAATTGGCAAATACTCATGGGACAATTTTTCAGGGGACGAACATCCATTTACCAGCTGTTTTGATGTTCATTCACAGGCCCCATGAGGAGGGTATTTTATTCAATCCACATCCAAATGAAATCGAAATGGTATGCAAAAAAGTAGGCCCATTTCAATTTGTTGTTTTGCCATGTGGGGGTTTTCAAAAATAGGGGTACTCCCAGTTCTCATCCATGTTTTTTTTTTAAACATTTTCCCTTGTAAAACCATCCATTTGTGGGTACCACCATTTATGGAACTCCCCATATCTACCATCTGGTAATTCAACATAGCCATTGAAACTTGCCATTTATGGTTGATTGACCTAGTAAAAATGCTGATTTTCCATAGGTTTTTGTATGTTTTACCAGAGGGTAACCCTATAAAAATCTCGCAGGACTGGTCCTGGCCCTTTGCGGCTTCCGGCGCCGCTGGCGCCGGGCCCGAGGGTGATGCCCAATTCGAGGCGTCCCGTGCCTTGGTCGAAACCGAACTCATGGTGACCGAATTCAGCGATCTCAGCTGGAATCATCCTCAAAAATCTCAAAATGATTTGTGTCCAGTTTAGTTTATTTAACTATAGTAATTTAGTTTATTTAACTACTATAGTATTTACATATACCATCTCAAAAATTACTATAATGTTTATTATCAAACATGTTTTCAGAATGATTGTTGGGGCAATGAAATATTGGGGTCATCAATCAGCACAGATGGGAACCTAACGACAAGGGAAATTAAAGCATCTGCATGGCAGGCCCCAAGTAGAGTAGATATGACTGGCCATGCATATTGAGGGAGCTGTTGGGAGTGATGGTTGATTCACTAAATGGGGAGCCAAGGAGCCCATTTGCCCCTCAAGATCAAAGGTTGAATGATCAAGAAAACATTGATATGATCATATCCCAGTAACAATCCAAACAATTGATATATCCCAACAAGCTCTAGAGGGGCAATCGTTGATCATATCCCAGTAACCGAACTATTCTCCTGCATTGAACGCGACTTGAAGCATCCTGTTCCTCTTGGGGGTGTCGATACCTCTGAGGCAGTGCAGTCTCACGCATCCAACCAACTTTGTAGGTCAAAAGTCGGATTATCTATAGATGGGGGATGGCCAGATGGTCATACCACCATTAACAGGGTATTATATAATTGGGGAATCCTGTTTATGATGGTAGGATGCCCATAAACATCATAAACCACAAATCCCATTAGTAACTTGACCATGACGGAAATGGAGCTGATCTTTGATCACTCCGGCCACCGACTCTCTTTTTCACAGAGGAAAACCCAGATCTTTGCGAGCATTCTCTACCCTTAATTTTGATCAAAATTGACAATTTAGGTCGGAGGGCTATTTATTTATGGTATTTTTTTGGATCAGTTTAAGGACTTCTTTTCTGGATTTCTGCTTCTCTGCTTTCCTGCTTCTTTGCTTTTCCTGCTTTTCTGCTGTTCCTGCTTTTCTCCTTTTCCTGCTTTTCCTGCTTCTCTGCTTTTCCTGCTTCTCTGCTTTTCTGCTTTTCCTGCTTCTCTCCTTTTCTGCTTCTCCGCTTTTTTGCTTTTCCTTGCTTATTTGCTTTTCTGCTTCTCTGCTTTTCTCCGCTTTTTTTCCCTCAAAATAAATGAATCCTAAGAAACATCATATCTAAGTTAGACGATTGACACTAGTACACAATCCTATCTTTTATCCCCGCCCCAGCACACAGCATAGCACATCCCAGCACCCACCCCAGCAAAACAATAAAACACAACACAGACATGAACAACAGCACCGACATCAACAACAACACAGACATCAACAACAACACAGACATCAACATCAACATCAACATCAACAACAACAACAGCAACAACAACAACAACAACACACACCCAAACACAAACACAAACACAAACACAAACAACGATTCACACAAACAACAACAAACAGAAACAACAACAAACAACAACGATAAACAACGACAAACAACGCCAAACAACGACAAACACCGACAAACAACCACAAACCACCACAAGCAATTACAAAGAACCACAGACAACCAACAACAGCAACCTCAACAACAACAACAACAACAACAACAACAACAACAACAACAACAGACTACAAACAGCAAACAACAAACAACAAACAACAGACGCAAAAACACACACACAAACACACAAACAAACACAAACAAACACAAATACACATACAAACAACAACAAACTCATACAACAACAAACACAAACAACAACAATCACAACCACAAACACACAAAAAACACAACAACACCAACACCAACACCAACAACAACGACAACAACAACAACAACCACAACCACAACCACAACGACAACCACGACAACAACAACAACAAAAAAAACAAGAAAACAACAAGAAAACAACAAGAAAACAACAAGAAAACAACAAGAAAACAGCAAGAAAACAATAAAACAAATAATAAGAACACAATAAGAAAACAACAAGAAAACAAAAAACAATCAAGAAGAAAAAAAGAAGAAAACAACAAGAAAACAACAAGAAAAAACAAGAAACAACAAGAAAACAACAAACACAACAACAAGAAAACAACAAGAACAACAACAAGAACAACAACAAGATCAACAACAAGAACAACAACAAGAACAACAACAACAACAACAACAACAAAACCAACAACAAGAACAACAACAAGAACAACAACAAGAACAACAACAAGAACAACAACAAGAACAACAACAAGAACAACAACAATAACAACAAGAACAACAACAAAAACAACAAAAGCAACAACAAAAACAACAAGAACAACAACAAGAACAACAAGAACAACAAGAACAACAAGAGCATTTTCAGAACAACAAGAACAACAAGAACAACAACAACAATAACAACAACAACAACAACAACAACAAAAACAACAACGACAACAACGACAACCAACGACAACCAACGACAACCGAACGACAACCAATGACAACCAACGACAACCAAGGACAACCAACGACCCACAACGACGAACAACGACAAACAACGACAAACAACGACAAACATCGACAAACAACGACAAACAACGACAAACAACGACAAACAACGACAAACAACGAGAAACAACCACAAACAACCACAAACAACCACAAACAACCACAAACAACCACAAACAACCACAAACAACCACAAACAACCACAAACAACCACAAACAACCACAAACAACCAACCACCACCACCACCACCAACAACAACAACAACAACAACAACACTGACAGCGACAGCGACGGCACCAGCAGCAGCAGCAACAACAACAACCACAACAACAAGAAGGACAACAAGGACAACAAGGACAAGGACAAGAAACACAAGAACAAAAAGGACAAGAACAAGAAGGACAAGAACAAGAAGGACAAGAACAAAAAGGACAAGAACAAGAAGGACAAGAACAAGAAGGACAAGAAGGAGAACAAGAAGAAGGACAAGAAGGAGGACAAGAAGGAGGACAAGAAGGAGGACAAGAAGAAGGACAAGAAAAAGAAAAAGAACACAACACAACACAGCACAGCACAGCACAGCACAACCCAGCCCAACCCAACCCAACCACCCCAGCACACAGCATAGCACAGATCCCAGCAAAAAACACAGCAAACAACAATCAACCCACACACACACACATATCAAACACAAAACAGGCACCGCATGCACAAGCAACATAGAGCATAAAACACAGCCAAACAAAGCAACAAGCAAGCACAAAAGAAAGCAAAGCAAGGTATGCAAGCAACAATACACAAATCAGCAGCAAAGCACACCAGCAAAAACAGAACGGAAGACCACCAGAAAAAAATAACAATCAGGGCAGCATACCAATCTCCCGTCCCAACTCCTGTCCCAAATTATACGGGGAGAAGCGGCCTCAACAAACAAAAGGCATCATCAAAAGAACACCAGATACCAACATGGGTGTGTCTGAAAATAGTGTACCCCTAAACCCAATGGTTTTGCTGATCATTATCCCTATTAAATGGCTATTTCATTGGGAAGATTAACCCAACATTTTCAGACAAACCCACATGGAGAAAACTATGAGGATATGCTTTCCCATCTTGCCCTACCATATTTTATCCAACCGTTCGCCCGGTTCGCCTCCGGGACAAGATGAATGACTTTTTTTCGGTGTGGACACCCAGTGGAGAGCGAGGGAGTTGCCGGACAGTCTCCACTTCCTGACCTTTAATGTTTTGTTGTGGGCATTCTGACAATTATTTGTTTTGGATGATGATGGCATTGACTGAACACATATCTTCATTTTTCGTGCCATCCATTTGACAGCATTTTGATTGTGAACCGCTCGCCCAACTTGCTCATTTTGAGATTTGGATCTATCTCTCATAAATCGTGAACATTCATGGTTCATAAGCTATTCAATTATAAGCTATTCTAGAAATATCGATAGGATAGTCTGTTGATCACATTCAGTGTTTTCATGCGTTGTCTGGCATCACTTTGCATCCAATGACCTCGATCTTGCGTGCGGATTTGCACACATGTTTCAACTGCTGTATTTACATACACCCATCTTTGCATGTCATGAATTCAGCATTCATGATCTGGAACACTCCGACCTTCTGCAGGCTTTCGGATCAAATTGGATATTTATGGATATTTGTCATTCTCATTATGCAGTATGGGTTCTGGAGCCTCGCAGCCGGAGCTGCTTCTTGGACCACCAAATGCGGAGGTGGCTCTTAAGCCAGAAGACAATATGCCGTTATCGAACAAAGAGGAGCAACTGGCCATGAAACGCGAGGAGGAGAAACAGCAGAAGGAGGAGGTGTGTAGTGCAACCCCTATCGAACGTGACTCATCACGTGACATAGGGAAAAAGAAGAAGAAGAAGAAGAAGAAGAAGGAGAAGCTGAAGCATGTGATGCTGTCTGGCCGCTTCACTCAGGAGCGATTTATCACCGCTCAAGTTTTTGCAATGCGATTGTGCTTCCAACAAGCGCTTCCAACAAGTACATTAATTCTATGATTATCAAAGAATATTGTGAATCAGTCTTCCGAGTTACGAACAGAAAGAATCGTGAGACTTGGGGAAGTGGTGACAAAGGGAAGTGGTGACCAAGGGAAGTGATGACTTAGGGACATGGTGACCAAGGAAAGTGGTGACTTTGGGAAGTGGTGACTTTGTGAAACGGTGACTGAGGGAAGGGGTGACCTTGGGAAGTGGTGACTAAGGGAAGTGGTGACGTGGTGAGCACGAAACATGGTGTTTTTCCGTGTAGAGTGGCTGCAGCTGGCGATGGAGGGCAGCTCGTGTGCACGGCGGTTGCGGACCCGTCGTTTAGTACTGGGAAGTACTTTGTGCAAGTTTTGTAACACAAAGTAGTATATACTGGGAAATGTTTTGTGCAAACTAGTACGTAAAAGGTCCTGTGTGTAAAAACTTCGGTTTGTAAAAGCTTCTGTGTAAAAGCTTCCGTGTGTAAACGCATCTTTCTCTAAAGGCTTCTCTGTGTAAAACTTGCTGTGTGCAAAAGCTTCCCTGTGTGAAAACTTGCTGTTTGTAAAAGCTTCTCCGTGTACAAGTGTTCTGCGTGTAAAGACTTCTGTGTGTAACAAATTGCTGTGTGTAAAAACTTCTCTGTGTAAAAAAATGCTGTGTGCAACAACTTTTCCGTGTACAAGCTTGCTGTGTATAAAAACTGTTGTGTGTAAAAAAATGCTGTGTTGCAAACGCCTGCCGTGTGTACGAAAATCTCAGTGCAAATGTTTGCTGTGTGTAAAAAAAATCTGTGTGTAAAAACATTTCTGTGTAAAAACATGCTGTGGGTAAAAACTTCTGTGTGAAGTGTGAAGTGTGAGGAGTGCAGTGTGAAGTGTGGAGCTTCAAGTGCGACTTTTGGAACAGTGGATCACCGTCACACAAAGCATGTACGCACCGGCCTGGCTGGTGCACGGCGCATGCAAGTTCTATAGATGAAAAAGGCCTTGTAGTATAAGCCTAGGGCAACTTCCGCCCCGACTCATGCGGGTACTACTGGTAGTTATAGTTAAACGATATAGAAAGCACTCCCCAAAATAGACATGCAAGAAGGTGCAAACCCATTAGATGAGTACTGTAGCGGTAGCTTGTGTTCTTTGAAGGCTTTTGTGTAGAAGTGGGACAGCAAGTAAGACCGAAGTTAAACCCTGAAGGACAAGAGGATACTTTATATGAGCAATGTTGAACATGAGCTGCAGCAAAAAGGACTACGGACCTTTATGGTAAAAGCAACAGCTGGAGAAAGTTTCGGGGAACAGACTGCTCACGGCCTTGCCAATGCTGCTGTGATGGTTGCTTTTTGCAGCACAACATATGGTGAGAAGACCGGTGTGGGATACGAAACCTATCAAGAGCTCAAGTATGTGCACGAGCATTCGTCCGAGTGCGCTCTCATTCCATGCAAGATGAGCCCCTTGTACCCACCCTGTCCTCCCGACGACGCAGGGCAAAATCTATGTAAGTTGGTGTTTTCTCCGAGTTTGGTGTACGTCGATGGCCTTGAAGAAAAACATGACACACCAGTTTACATTCCGTCTGGTGAGTTGGCCAACAAGATTTACGAAGCCATCGAGAAGAGTGGGAGGCTCAAGGAAGTCCATGTCGATGGGGGAGTTCTAGAACAACTAGCTGAGTTGACCGCGTAATAGTCTAAGACTTTACCAAGGTCGCAGAAATGCAGTGGAATCTTCATGCTATTAATGCATACTCCCTGCAAATTGTCCCAGTTGCACTCTGTTTTAATCTTAATTCGGTTTTCTCTGAAGAGATATCTTGAGCTAGAGAGCTGGCTGGGATGAAAAGGTTGATATCCGCAAGATGGGCTGCATAAGACTGCAATGACATGCAATAACCATGTCCAATTGGATTCTACTGTATGGGGGCGGGAACAAGGTGGACACTGGTGAGTTTAATTCCAACTTTTGGCCTGCGATTGAAACACTTGATTAGGATTCATCTATATAACTCAATTTCACAGCTGGTTGATTAAAGAGTTGAAGGGACACGCTGCCACAGCATTTCAGCATCTCTCGTAAGCATTTCCGAGAGTCGACAAAAGGATACAAAAGGTTCAGACCGCCGTTCAGAACAAACGGTTCGGAAGTTCAGACTTTGACATTGTGGGACAGCTTAGACCATCCATTAGGCCTCAGGCCTTTCTCCAGCTGTCTTCGGAGACCTCTCCTTGACACAAACCCCGAAAGACCCAACAATCAACCCCGAACCCCCCGACAGTCATTTAGATTGCCACTCCTGCCACTCCGAGGTTAGTATGTCATCATTGAAAATGCAGTCGTTGAGGTGCAAACCAGCGGCATATATCATATATCCCAACTTTTGGTGCGAAGTTCAACCAGAGACTTGAACAAATGACTTTGCGAAGCAGTCTTCAAAAAGAACATTTGGAGTATGAGTTCAGATTGGAACAAATGACTTTGCCAAACTCTCTTCAAAACTTGAATCTTGACGATGACTTTAACCAAGTTAGAGGAACCATTATCAAACAACTTTTTGAAGTTGATGTACGGGACAATAACCGAAACCACCAAATAGATACTTTCCGGGGTACAATACCCTTTCAATCCGACAAACCTCAATCCACACGCGCTCAAAAATACATCTACAAACCACATTCACATATAGATACATAGAATTACATATTTATATATATATGATGATAATAATAATATTATTAATAATAACGATAACAACTATACTATTAATAATAACAATATATACACACCATCACACACACACATCTACATATATCTACATATATCTACATATATATATACATACACACCCACCCGTTTCAGGATGTCAGGTTCCGCAGTTTGGCGCGGCACTGGGATGGATGGCAGGTGGATGGTTTTTAGGAGTAGGATATCTTAAATATGAATAGATAGGAATGTGGGTAAAACAATAATAGATGGTTAATAGATGTCACTGTAATAGATGTTAATACATGGTTAATAGATGCTAATAGATGATAATAGATCGTTAATAGTCATTAGTTGATGGTTAATAGCTGTTAAGGTGGGTAAAACAATGCCATTTGCACCATCCCCAGTCATCACCATTTTTATAGGTGGTATAGTATAAACCATTCCCAGTCATGGGTGGTTTATGACATTGTTTTAACCACGTTAATAAATATAGATATGTATACTGTACCTATCTCTCCAACTATCTATTTCTGTTTTGTATTTGTACAACAATACGGTGGGGTGCTGGGGTGCTTGGGATGTGGTGGGTGGGACTACGCATTTTGCGTGGCAAGGCACAATATTGACAGCATCCAACAAATCCTCAACTGAAAACTTACAATCACCTCATAACTCATGGCATTTTCCAAACCCAGCTTTTCTATACATCTTTATTGATGAATCAATGAACCAGTATTTAGGTTTCAATTTGTCAATAATCTCAATTGTTTTCACAAGCATGTCTTTGGTTTTTGGTGACGTGTATATAAAGTTGAGATATCCAGCAGGGCATTCATAATAATCCAAGTCTTTATTTATATAAATCTAATGAGGCTGCAAATACGCCATTACCTTTGGCAGTATCGCTTACAATACTATGATCACTATATAGTTCAAGTAATTTCATGATATTATTTCGAACGAATTAATATAGTCTTATGGCACTAATATAGTTCTTATCCCCATCCTTTCCAATCTTATAGCATTCAAGGTTTGTTCTTTGGGTTGCTTAATTTTCTCAGCATTTTAAGATATTGATTTTGCTTGCTTTCATCACTGCCCTTCTTTTCCAAATGCCTTTTCAACTTTCTCTTTCTCATCATCCGCAGGTTTGGCATTCACCGCACTTTCAATCTTCGTATCAATTTCGTCCAACATGACCATCGGCATGTTTCATGTGTTTAGCGTACGTGTTGAATTTGATTTTGTCTATCAATTCTTTAATTTCATTCTTGCTCTCACCTCCGCTGGACATTTCTATAATTCTATACATATTTTTTTAGATATTTACATATCACATCATATCACCATATATTATTATCATTATTACATTATTATTACTATTATTATTTATTTGTCAGGTTGAAGTGCGTTTAAATCTACTTTTCAAATGTTTCCAGTACGAGTACGATTTCCAGCATCAACATGTCTAATAGATTTACAACAATTATCAGAGTAGTCAAACTGGGCGTAAGATACATGGTTACACAGAGTATATCATTTGTATTCAGGGCATAGATTGTATTTATTTGTTTGGGCATTAAAACCTTTAATATAAGCGCTACTATCTATTGATGCTACTAAATGATTGCCTCCAACTTGGGCATCGCCATTCACAAAAAAACCCTTATCGCTGCTCACGACATTCAGGATTATTTTAGAAGTGCCTAACACATGAAATATGCAAAGTGTCCCAGACATGTCTTGGGTTAAGTTTATTAATTATTCAACAATGTATCGGTTTCTGATTTGTCATAGTAATTACTTAAATTAACACCTCCACCTCCTCCACCATTGAAAATGGCTGTTTCTACATATTCATCTGTTGCTAAATTAGAAGTTCCTGTATTCAATAACTTAGTAAATTGCACTCCTGTGTATTTAATCGAACCATCTAACGAAACCATAATATGAATAGTTTCTTACTTCTGTTTCATGATTTGTCGTTGTAGGAGAGCATAATGTTGTGCAAATGCTGAACCAGTGTTTATTGACGGTGGTGTTGTTTTTTCTTAATGAATGATTGTGTTGGGTCTTCTTCTTCTTCTTCTTCATTGCCATAATATATTTCAGGAGGGGGTTTGGGTTTGGTTCTCTGTTTTGCTTTGGGTTTTGCTTGAGGTGTAATACACCCTAAAACCGACCCTAAATAGATCGGTCCTAAACCATGCAAAATGAAAGGTTGAAGTGCCAAAATATAGCAAATACTGTTGGAAGGTGAACATGCCCAAATGTAGCAAATACCATGTAAATTGACAGGTTCTAGTTCCAAACTGATGCAACTACACGGCAAATGGTACCAGGAAAGAAATCCTAACAAAAATCCCAAACCTGATCAACAACAACTCCTAAAACTATTGTACACCCAGGTCCTTGTGTATCTGAAACCAGGGTCATCAATGTCATTCATGTTACTCATGTGATTTCTGTGGCTGAGAAGATCACAGATCTTCACCTGCTGGGCCAAGTCATCACCACAAGGTGGTGCCCCCCAAGTTATAAGTTGGTTTATAATCCCATTAACTAGTTCGTTATTTGCGTACAATAAACCATAGTTTTCACAGATCAATGGGAATTCCAGGATCCTAAAATGGAGGTACTGTACCATATAAGGCCATATTTTGTGGGGATACCCTTACATAGGCCTGAAAAATAGGCCTTATATATGGAATCGGTACCTACAGGTCGCCAAGTCGTCACCAGGTCTTCAAGATCTGAACATCTTCAACTTTTTCTACGTGGACGACCAGGTCGCCGTGGCTCAGGGCGCCTCAGGAAGTGTGGCGCTGTGGGGGGCTACGGATCCGGAGTGGGACCAGAAGCATCTCATCCCAGTGGAGGGCGAAGCGTAGCCAACCTGGCTGGAAAATGGGCAAAATCCACCAGAAATACTTCGAGGATTTGGGATTTTCCCATTTAAATTGGGAAAATATGTGAAAATCCCATGAATCTCCCAAAAAAAACTCATTGATTTCAGATTAGATCTGTTGAAGAAATGAGTGTATAGATGACTTCCCCCTGATTTCATCACTTTGCCTTCCGGTGGAATGTTGCTTTTCCTCTACCCCGGTGTAGAAACCACAGCACCGGGTGCAGCAGAGCCAGTTTTCACCAGCGCCGCACCAGAATCGATGTCAGAAAAAGCTGCGCAACGCACTGCGGCAGATTTGCAGGCCTTTGATGCCAAAAGAAACAAACTCTATCCAGTGGTGAACTACTTGAGTTTCCCAAGCACATGATAGAAAATGGCCCGGAAACTGTGAATGCTTGGTGCTCTCCAGGAAGGTCACTCAACAACATGGTGCTTGTGGGATTATAAATAACTACTATTCATGGATATGAATGGGATATCATGGGACTAGTATTGTTTATAGTAACAATCATTATTAATTATATAATCATTATGAATGATTATTATCCCGCTAATCATAATTATATATAACCTAGTCATGTGGCCCCTATTGTATCTTTTGGAGCCTTTTGGGCCTTCATTACTATCCCACTATAACTTATAGATTATAACATTACCAGTCATCATGCATCATTATTCATCAGTATTATCTCACTAATCAGTATTGTAACTTATAACTTATAACAGTATCAGTATAATCTCACTATCTTTATATCATTTCCAAATTGGCGTCAAAGGAAACGCGAAACTTTGCTATTGGGGTTGTATGCTGGGTTAATGATCATTATTATAACATAATGAGTTAGATAATGCATATACCAACGAGAATATATAGTATGATAGATGTATAATGTTAGATAATATCAGATAATACGTACACTAACGATTATATTAATTATATATATATATGTGAGATTACCATAATGATAATACGTATATACCTTAGATACCCCACTCATCATGATATAGCAACAATTGCCCACCCAGGTGAGGGCCAAGCATTGGTTGCCAGTCTTCCAACGCGCCCTGGGTGAAGGCACACCTAGTTGGACCTAAGACGAAAGAACATGGTACCAACATTGTATATATATATATATACCAATGGGGTATGTCAAATCATAGCAATCATGGTATATCATATATATCATTCTATATCAAATGTTATCCCATGACTAGCCACGTTTGAGCAACCCGGAGGGTAGACATTGTTGATTTGCCACTATAAACCATCCAGCTATTGGGGTACCCCCATTTATGGAAACCCTTGTAATTATAACATATATATATATAATATATATATATATATAATCGAAGGAAGTTTAGAAGTCAAACTTCCGACAATATGGACAGATGAAAAGCAGAGTAGGGCAGAGGCAGAGAGAAGAGAAAGATTAGAAGAGAGAAGAGTAGAAGAGAAAGAGTCAGAAGAAAGAAGATGCAGATGCGCGAAAAGGTAGGAAAGTCGCGAAACACTGTTTTTCCAATGATTTGTGGCTCAGGAGAGTCGAAAAGTAGGCTCGCTAAAGCGGCGGGTGCGGAGCCAGCTGGCCAGATGAGAGATGAAAAGTTGCACGCCGTTGTGGCGCGAAGCACATTTCCAAGTCAAAATGTACAAAACACCTCGGCCTCGGACCACTCTTGGAGGTTCGGATGTGGAAAAAGTGCACGCCGTTGTGGCGCGAAGCACATTTCGAAGTCAAAATGTACAAAACACTAGGGGTTCGGACCACTTTTGGAAGTTGAGATGTCGAAAAAGTGCACGCCGTTGTGGCGCGAAGCACATTTCGAAGTCAAAATGTACAAAACACTAGGGGTTCGGACCACTTTTGGAAGTTGAGATGTCGAAAAAGTGCACGCCGTTGTGGCGCGAAGGACATTTCCAAGTCAAAATGTACAAAACACTAGGGTTTCGGACAACTTTTGGAGGTTCAGATGTCGCTTCGCTTCGCTTCGCTACACTACATTACACTACACTACACTCCACTACACTACACTCCACTACACTACACTACATTACACAACACTACAACTACAACTACACAACTACACTCCACTACACTCCACTACACTCCACTACACTACACTACATTACACTACACTACACTCCACTACACTACATTACACTACACTGCGCTACCTTCCACTACACTTCACTACATTACACTACACTCCACTACAACTACAACTACAACTACACAACTACACGCCACTACAATACAGTCCACTACACTCCACTACACTAAATTACACTACGCTACACTCCACTACACGACAACTACAACTACAACTACGACTACACAACTACACTCCACTACACGAAATTACACTACACTACACTACATTACACTACACTATACTACATTCTACTACACTCCACTACACAACACTACATTACACTACACTACAATACACTGAATGACACTGCACCACAGATAGACAGGTAGACAGACAGACAGACAGACAGATAGATAGATAGATAGATAGGTAGATAGACAGGTAGACAGCTAGACAGATAGACAGATGAAAGAGAAAGAGAGAGAGAGATAGATAGATAGATAGGTAGATAGATAGGTAGATAGGTAATTAGATGAAAGAGAGAGAGAGAGAGAGATAGATAGATCGATAGATAGATAGATACATAGAAGATAGGCTGGTAAGTAAGTAGATTGTCAGAGAAAGAGAGAGACAGAGAGGAGACCTCAAGCACCTTTCGGTCCATCAGTGGATTCGCTTTGCCATCCCTGATTCACAACCAACCTCTCCTATAGGTTTCCTATTTTTGAAACTTCCGCCACCGCCTTGTGCGGTACTACTGGTAACTATATCAATATCATGTAACATGATGTTATGGGATACAAGGGTATGATATGATCAACATGAAACAAGGGTATGGGAAAATTCTCGAGATATTTGATCACAATGTCACTGGCGACGTCAGTGGAAAGGATTTGGTATAGTATTATAGCGGTAACTATCCCCATACTACGGCCGGACCTTTCAGGCGGGTGAGTTTTTGAAGGATATATATATATATATACAGTAGCTATATATACACTTAACCAAGAAATAGGTCAAAATTGGTTGAGGATGCTGCACGGGAGAAGCATTGTTCTTGGACTTCTGGTCAAATCACAATTTTCTGTCGGGAAAACCACGCAATTTTTCTGGTTGAATTCCGATTTCTGTGGTGAGACATGGTGATAAACCCTCGTTTCTGTTATAATGTCAATGGGTTCTTGGATTAAATATGGTTAAATCATGTTAAATCCCAATTTCTGCTGGTTCAAAGGGTCATTTGTATCCCCTTGGGTCTGGACTCCAGGTCTACACGATCCCAACCTGGCGCGCCACGTGTTGAGCGAGCTGGAACGCTGGCGCGATGTTGGGGGGCCCAACGGCGTGGAAACGAAGGGGGGTACCCCAATGGATGGATGGTTTAAGTTTAAATTAACCATTTGATGGGTAAATGGAGGTTTCCTAAAATGGGGTGTATCCCAATAGCTGGATGGTTTATAATGGAACATACAAAACAAAAATGGATGAGAACTGGGGGTAGCCCAACTTTCATGGAAATCATCATGGAAAAATATGTCACCATCTTCGCAACTTTCATAATTTTCCTGCGAACGATCACATTTCGCAGGATTGGGTATGGGTGGGCAAACCAGGCAGTAGATGTGTACCCAAAACCATTTTTGAGTTCGCTATTTGCCGTTGTTGCTGGTTCATGTTTGACGTCCTGATGAAATTTCTTTTTAAACCCCGCTGGACAATCCCTGAAGTTATCAATGTCCAACATATATATATATATATATGGGAGCCGTCCGTAAAAGCAGGTCACAAATTTATGAATTGATGCGTTTACTTTGCTTTGCGCGATTGCTAAAACCTGCATCGCGATAGGCTGAGCGATTGGTTGGCGATTGGTTATACGGCTACCACCCTATTACTACTACTACTACTACTACTAGTACTGCTAGTACTGCTAGTACTGCTAGTACTACTACTACTACTACTACTAGTACGAGTACGACTACTACTACTACTACTTCTACTACTACTACTACTAGTACGAGTACGACTACTACTACTACTACTTCTACTACTACTACTACTACTTTCGAGACCAGAACCATGCCAATAATTGACATGGCCGCGCGGATTCCGCGCGCGCGGAATCCGCGCAGATGTTTTCAGGTCAGAAGGACATTCTTCAAGCTAGCTCCAATTGAAAACAGGTCAGAAACAGGTCAGAAACAGGTCAGAAACACCAAAAAGGCAGCACTTGCCTAGCATCCCATCCATCCATCCATCCATCCATCCACCTCGGCTCTTATCATTGCTACTAATACTACTACTACTACTACTACTACTACTACTACTCCTGCTACTACTACTACTGCTACTGCTACTACTGCTACTACTACTACTACTCCTACTCCTACTCCTACTCCTACTTCTACTCCTACTCCTACTCCTACTCCTACTACTGGTATTATTGTGAGTTTTCCGGACCGTTTCCGGACCGCGCAATTTTCTTTTCTTCTCAAATATGAAAACGAATGCGTTCATGGGCGGATCCTTCTACTAGTGTTGCTACTACTCTCAGTATTACCACTAGCGCCGCTACCACTGCAACGCCGCTACCACTACTACACCGAGGAATTTTTGCCTTTGCTTTTCTCATTGACAGAAGTTCCACGGAAGGGTCAGAAATAGTCAGAAACCAGTCAGAAACCGGCCAAACGCAACCTCTCTCTCTCTCTCCCTTGCCTATTCCCTCACCCTCCTACCAGAACTCCTACGCCTACTCCTATTCCAATTTCCACTACCACTACTGCTAGTGCTACTGCTACTGCTAGTGCACTGTGAGTTTTCCGGACCGTTTCCGGACCGCACAAGCTTATTTTGCTCCCAAATTTGAAATCGAATGCGTTCACGCATGGATCCTTACTCTCATT